ATAATTAGAGTTGATTTTATTGTATTGTGATTTATAAATTACCTGAAACTACCTAGCACAGTGCTTGATTCTTGGTTTAAATCTACATGGCAGCCCAATAAAGACAATTGGGAGTAGCCAAGTTCCTGAGTTGGAATGACTGTTGGAAACTTTCTGAAGGTCACAGATGGCATTTATAGAGAGATGATAAGGAAGCAAGGCCACTACTGGATCTAGGGAGCTGATCCAATGGCCCATCTAGAGGGCTGGTACTGGTATCCCAGTTTCTACCAGAGTAAACGGGACAGCAGGCATTTCTCCTTTCCAGGCCTCTGCAGGAAGAATGAATTAAGCAGTAGAAACATTTGCTTTGAAATAAACAGAAAATTCTTCACAAAGTAAACCAGTTAAGCTCCTCTGGCACCCCAAACTTATTTCTGTCCAGCACTTTTCTCTCAGTCACTTATGAATTCACTCTTGCCTTTCACATGGCCAGCTCAGGTTTAAAATTGGCAACTATTTGGTCTCCTGAGCCCTGCAGTGATTCCTGAGCTCAAGACAGGAGTAAGCCTGAGCATTGTCACATGTGGCCCAGAACAAAAACAAAGTGAGCAGTGTGTCACTGTTTTACATTGCTTAAAATTATTAAATGAGGAAATTAAAATTTAATATTATATATGTTCTATAAAACAAAGTTAATAGTGTGACTTTGGTTTATAGAACCGGCCTTATGTAAGGGAAAAAGAAGTGGATAGTAGGGGTCCTTAGTATATCGGTGGAAAATATAGTTACTTCTGTGGTGGGTGTTGGAACAATATATTATTAACTGTATTGTAAATCATGGCACTACAGTGAAAAAAAATAATAGGAGACTATAATTATAGGCTCCAATTTTATCTGGATGTACAAACAGAACTGTGCTCCTTTGGACACAACCAATTAACTTTCATGAGCATGTTCTTTAAGGAAATTTGTTCATTCCCCTGAACAGAGGATGAAGACAACACTAGAGGGCATGCTGGAATAATGCAGGGTCTATGAAAGTGTGTGTGTGTGTGTGTGTGTGTGTGTGTGTGTGTGTGTGTGTGTGTATTAAGGAGAGTTCTCCCAGTAACCTGAGTTGATTAACCTCATGTCATATAAGGGAGACATAAGATGTATTTGTTCACATAAACAGATAGTGCAAATCCTTTACTAATGCTGCCATAGGTAAGCACATCTCTAACTATCACAAGTCCAGGCTAATAGTCCCTATCTAAAAATTCAGGTAATCTGGATTACCTTATCCCAATCACTTGGTCTAAATCAGGAAGTCTTAAAACACCCCTTCCTTATGTTCCCCAAGTCTCTTCTGTAAAATCTAAACTCAGGAGATGGTTGAAGGAGAAAGGAGATTGTAGATGAAAAACAACTTCCAATATTAAACGTGTAGAATGGTGGCAATGAATGCAGCTCCACTGTCACGAACTAAGGACACAGGAAATCCTTGATTCCAAACACCACACACAGGTGATCAGTGGAACTCAACTAGGCAGGGTTTCCTCTGTGCTTACACAGACAGAAGGTTCAAGTATCATTAGGTGATCTTACAAAAGATGAAACAGATAAAAAGTCTGGGATAGAATCAAGTTTCAGCAGGGTTAGAGAACAGGAGGGAGGTGAGCTGAGTTGACTGGTGAAGTGGATCACTGTGAAGAGAAGCAAGTGGGGGACAGGACCCCATGAAGGATGGAAATCTCAGTGGGTGAACCTCTTCTGAGACTGTAATGACAAGATTCACTCTTGAACTCTGACCTGACTGTGATGAGCAGCCTCTGGAGATCAGATATTCAGGGCACACTTGACCAGTTCAGTCAGAATGTCCAGGTGGAGCTGAACCTGGGTAAGCTAATCAATGTTCCCCACATTGTTCTAATGACAGATCAGGGCTGACAGGCACCTCCTACTCTCACCTCACAACTACCTGAGGCCTGAGGAGGAGTGTCTGACCTAGCACCTTTGGCTTCAGAGCATCCAAGCTGAGAGGCAGGAATTCCCCTGAGCTAACATAGCTCACCTTCTCCATGTTGCTCACTCCCAGGTGTGTGTAGCTCTGGAGTGAGGACGAGGTATTCAGTGACTCTGGCCCCAGGTGGAGTGACACTTGAGAGGTCACAGAGATCAGGAGGCAGAGCAGGGACATGAGCACAGACAAGTGGCTCACCCAGGCTCTCATCCAGGGCTCAGTGACGCTAGTGATGCTTCCACACAACTTTCTACTGCTCTCTGCATCTCATAGACCTGAACTAAACTTCACTTATGGGGAAACTGAGAATTCCAAACACTGAGACATCCACAGTTTTGGTAAGACAGTACCTCTATTCACTTGCCAAGGAGAATCCCCATGAAGAGGATGCCAATATGGATTAAGAAACAATACATAAAAGAGATCTCCAAGCCTACTCGGATCGGGGCTGAGCATCCTCCACCCAGATCCTCTGAATTCCAGTAGGCAGGGATCACATCCACCAACTGGCCCCCTGGCACCGTGTAATCCCATCAACGGCCAAGACTCAGAGACTATGAAAACCAGCTCCCGGAAGAGAACAATGCAGTCTCCTGCCCCCGCGCCTGGCTGTCCTCACCGGAGCCCCTTGGAGGGGAGCGGGTTGAGCTTTCCTCCCCGCCCCGACCAGGGCTCCGGCAGTCGAAGACCTCCAGGACCAGCCACCACCATGCTGAAACCACTCTCTGCACACCTGAAGGTACCGGCAGAGGAACAAAGGCAAGCAAGTCCCGGGGCTGAGATCTCCAAGCCTATTCCTGGAACCGCGTGACATCTTATTATGACATCTTATTATCTCATTCCTACTTTGGACAAACTGGCAGGCTACCGAATATAACCTGCCCACACAGCAGAGTCTGGCAAACTCCCCATGGCGTACCCAATATGCCAAATACCAGTAACAATGATGGGTCTCATTCTCCTAAAGAGCCTTGAATATAGCACTTTCTTAAAAATCTCAGGGCTAGGATGAAGGAGACGTTACTGGGGCCTGCTCGAGGCAATCGACGAAAAACTGGATGGTCGTGATTCGTGATTCGACATAAAAGAGTATGATTTGAGGTCACAGGGTTAACGTCCTTTTGACTGTGATTCCCATCAGCTCCCTGTGGATCACATTTATTGTCTTATACGAGGATCCAGAACTAGGGGACAATATTCTTAGCATGGGGAGAGAATATCCTGATTAGAAGCACAACTGCACTCCTAAGAGCTATTATAGTTCTGTTTTCTCATACCAAGGCAGTCAGGCCAAGATGGAGCACATGCAGGTCCATGCCTCAGTGCTGTTCTACATAAATTAGCACCAGCGTTCTTACCACAAGGTCCTGTTTTTCTGTCCTCTAAGACTCTTTGCTCATCCTATCTAACTTAACCCTTAGTTTCCAACACTGATCTGTTCTCTCACCAGTCTCATTGCATCTCACACCTTCCCACAAAGATTGGGGAATTAGTCACCCTCTGTGTGTCAGGAGACTGATGCGCAGGAGAAAGCTGGTTCACAGAACCTTGATCTAGCCCCTGGTTTGGAGTCTACTGTGCTTCTGGGAAATAGCATCTCAGATCCTTTCAATTCTCCTAAAAGGAGTCAGTTATTTTTGCCATTTTGGAGATGAAAATACTGAGTCCTTTAAAGATTGTCTCATCTCTCATTTGACCCAGCCATACTACTCCTAGGAATACATCCCAGAGAGGCAAAAAAGTATAGTCGAAATGACATCTGCGCTTGAATGTGCATTGCTGCACTGTTTACAATAGCCAAAATCTGGAAAGAAAAAAAAACCCGAGTGCCCAAGAAGAGATGACTGGTTAAAAAACTCTGGTACATCTAAACTATGGAATACTATGCAGCTGTTAGAAAAGATGAAGTCATAAAATTTGCATATACGTGGATCAACATGGAAAGTATCATGTTAAGTAAAATGACTCAGAAAGAGAAGAACGGTCATAGAAAGATTGCACTCCTCTGTGGATATAAAGTAACAGCATGGGAGGCTAACACCCAAGAGTAGTAGAGATAAGGACCAGAAGGTCTGCTCCAAGGTTTGGAAACCAGCCTTGTATGCTGGGGGAGAAGGCAGCTCAGATAGAGAAGGGAACACCAAGTAAAGGGTGTTTGGAAGATCTGCTTGGGATGGAAGATGCATGCTGAAAGTAGACTATAGACCAAACACAATGGCCACTCAGTACATCTATTGCAAACCACAACACCCAAAAGGAGAGAGAGAGCAAAAGGGAAGCCCTGCCACAGAGGCGGGGTGGGGTGGGAGGGGTTGGGTAGGGGTAGTGGGAGGGATATTGGGATCATTGGGGGTGGAGAATGGGCAGTGATGGAGGGATGGTTACCCAATCATTGTATAACTTAAATGTTTGTAAGTCTACAAATGTACCACATGGTATCACCAATAAAAATTTATAAAAAATAAAAATAAAAATAAAGATTTTCTCATGACTTCCCATCATCTCATCAGGCAGCCCTTTGTCATCTGACTGGGGAATTTTCTCTGGTTGAGACTTTCCAAGGTCACCTGCTCTGCTCAGAGCTTTCAGTGACTGTATGTGTGTCTCTCTCTGTGTGTGTGTGTGTTTCCATGAATGATAGGAGGGTTTCCTGACAACTTTTCTGAAAATGGACAGCCATGTGACTGTCAGCCTGTCAGACTAAACAGAGTCTGTGCTTCTTATCACCTTTTATCACTGCTGTTTCTCAAACAGAACCAAATGCAGCCCTTGCTGATACTTTGTTAGAGGGAATAAAACTGCAGGACTCGGTGACTCCAACATCTTTGATCTCCAAAGGCAGGTGAAGTGAACTGTGAAGCAGATCCAAGGACAAGCACCAGCTCCTCATCTGCCCTTAGTTCCTGCTATCAGAAGTGAGACTAGCCTGACTGTGGTCACACAACAGGATGAAGGGCCCCTCAGAGCACTCACCACTCACAGTGACCAGGGTGCCTGACCCAGACTTGAACGTTACCCTTCCAGAACTTCACACAGTAGTAAGTGCCCATGTCGGCCAGGCTGATGTCACAAATGCGGATGGAGAAGTCTGTGTTGTCTAACTTGTTGGTATCTGAAACATTGGTCATTTGGGGGTAGTGGCCTTTGCCTCCAAAGTTGTAGGTCTAATCCCGGCTACCCATGCTCTCCCAGAACCACTAGACAGTTCCCACGGGATACAGGGAGGTCAGGGAGCAGCACAGAGTGGCCAGACATGAACTTGTCAGGCTGGATGACCTGCAGCTCTGCATCCTGCCCAACCACTCCTGAGGGGAACACAAGCAGCTCTTCACTCATCCTTGTCAATCTGTAGGTTTCCTCAACTCTCTGTCAGCAACCTACAGCAGTGACTGAATGTTCAGTGTGAGGAGTTCAGCACATTGTATGAATCTAATGTTGCCCCACTATGTACCTCCACTGTGTGAGTGTGATGCAAAGGAGTTTAAGGACATAGCATAGAGGGTAGTTTAGGAGTTTTCCCTGGAATGTCTGGAATTAGCACCTCCCCTGTTCCTCCACTGTCTGGCCTCAGGGAGTGTTGGACTTTTTTCTTATTTGTCTTATGAGAAACCATGAGGTTTTTCTGACCAATGAGCATGAGCAGAGGGACGATGGTGCCAATGGGATAGCCCTGATCTGTCAGGGCCTCAGTAAATCCATCCTTCTCTTCCCCAGATGATGCTTCTGGTGGTGTCTGCCCTAATCCAGAGTACTGAGAGGAAGGTGCAAATACTACCATATACATGGAAATTTCTAAAAAGCTGAACATGGTTTCAAGTCTCTGAGATTTATACTTTTTAAATTGCCGGTCAATATATATTGGTGTTGTCATTCTGCTGTGACAATTATCAAAATCTTATTGTCTTAAAGTAATAGAATATTTCCTCAACAGATTAATGAAAGAACATAATCTAGTATGTGTGAAAATGGAATATTTGCATCCCTACTCATTAATCTCTGTATCTTCGGCGTTCGCCTTACAAGCAGCCAACATGGCCGACCCGAGTTCGATTCCTCCGCCCCTCTCGGAGAGCCCGGCAAGCTACCGAGAGTATTCGATATGCCAGACACAGTAACAACAAAGTCTCCAATGGAGACGTTACTGGGCCCGCTCGAGCAAATCGACGATCAACGGGAGGGCCTTTACCTTTACCTTTACCTTACTCATTAATGAAATTCTGATCCAGCCTATAATACAAATGAACCTTAAAATAAATACTGTGTTAATTGAAAGAAATCAAATGTAAAAGAGAAATATCTTCCCACATATATAATGTACTGAAAATGGACTAGTTCATAGAGGAAAAAACACCTTAGAGCTGGGGGTGCGGGAAGATATGAAGAGTTATTTGGTATACACAATTTCTGTTTAGGTTTTGGGAAAGTTCTAGAAATGTGTGGTGCTTTTGGTTTCACCATAGTGAATGTGCTCTATTCCCACCAATTTTTATACTTTTAACAGGATGGTTCATCTGACATATAATTAACATAATAACACGTGCATACTAATAAAAGGTCATTAGATGTTGACTTGAACTAAATGAATTAAGGAAAAAAGAAAACATATGTAATATTGAGGATGGTGTAGCACTGTAGCACTGTCCTCTGTTGTTTATTGATTTGCTCAAGGGGGCACCAGTAACGTCTCCATTGTGAGGATGGAGTATTTCTTATAAATAGATACTTAAATGTGGAAAGAGAGCGGGCATACAAGAGAGCAAGAAATAGCTGGCTACAAATTTCTTTTTGAAAAGAAAGGAGCTGTTCATTTTGTTTGGACAAAATGAGTTATGAGTTGAGGGACTGTGAGTCATCTATGATTTTTCATACCAAAGAGCACTTTGCAGTTGGATTTATTCCTAGAGACAAGGCATATTCTAGAATCATATAGAAATACTAAAAGTTTACTCTGGTTTGAAGTCTCTCATGATTCTGGTAGCAGATCTGCACCAGAGGATCAGCCTATTGTTGGACCATGAGTAAATCCCATGTTGTGAAGGCCTACTCCCCTTCTACAATACTTAACCTTGTTTGGCATCCTCAGAGCCATTTTGGAGAAGCAAAATTTTTGCCAGTAACTGTCAGTTACTATGGGAATCAGCTGAAAAAGCAGAATTACCCAGAATGAAATCAGTGGACATAAATACCAAAACAATCAAGGGAAAGGTCACCATGGAGTGGCACAAGATGGTTAGGGAAGCCCCTTGAGTTTTTAAAAGTATAAAAATACCCTGGAAACAAGGGGAGGGGTCACTCTCCTACTTGAGTGGACAGCCCTGACATGTCAGCTTTCTAAACTCCATACTTGTTTGACTGTGTCAAATAGAATATTACACTGCAAGGCTCATTGCTTTGCGTGGTCTTTCGGACACTGGACCCTAACAATGTTTATTTTTATGTTTCCTTGTGCTCAACAGGATAGAGCTGTCATTCCCCTTTTCATAAGTGAGCAGGTAGAGTCCACCCACTCAGCACCTGTGTAGCAGGCCTGGCTCCTAAGGAGGCGCTGCTCTCACAGGGCACACCCGGCTTGTTGCTGTGGTCAGGACCGACCTTTGTTGGTTTGGATTTAAGTCAGGAGAAGAAGATTGGGAGCTGCAGAGATAGTACAGGGTTCTAGGCACTTGGCTGACATGGTTCAGTGCCCTGGCACTGAACATGGTGCCCTGAGCACTGCCAGGAGTGATCCCTGAACAGAGAGCCTGGACATCACCAGGTGTGGTCCCAAACCCCAAACTTCAAATATAAAATAATAGAAGATGACTGGACAATGGGAAACCGTCTGACAAAAGTGACTGTTTCTGTGACAGAGTGGAAATAACTGTGACTGACTCTTGAAGAGACGAGTGAACTGAATAGTGGAGAGAGGGAAGAAGAGAAACCAGAAAGGTGACAGAAACCAGGCAATAGAGAAGCTCTGCCCTCTGTGGATTCATAATTCTCACATTCACACTCTAGGCCAGACCTTTCCCTAGAATTCTGGACTTTTTGTACTGTTATCTTGGGCCGTGATCCTTAGTCAGAAGTAAACATCACACAGTTAACATCCCGGATCTGAATTTTTAATTTTCTCCTATGCCCTCACTATCAGCTTGATTCTCCTAGATCTTAGTTCCCAAGTCCTTGGGTTTTTCTCTCCCACTGCAGCACTGTGCACCAGGATATCCTGTTGACTCATCAGCACGCATGTCAGTGCTAAGCTTTTGACTTTGTCTCTATGAACTTCTGGCTTGTTGCTGTCAACTTGTTTTGTGTGCATGAACTCAGTAACTTCTGAAGTTCTCTAGTTTTTTCTATCTCTGTTGTCTAGTCCATTCTAAGTTAAATGTAGAGTAATGTCATACTCATCTTGGAGGAAGTGGCTTCCCTCTGAAAATCCACACAATGTCAAACATTTTTTTGCACTACAAAAATAAAATGAGCAAGATTAGAGAAAAATCAAACCCTTGAGCATAACAGGAAGAATTTTTTCTCAGGGTCCTTGCACGTATTTCCTTGTCACTTTCCACCAGAAATCCCTATAGTTCATCCTATACAGTCTTCTAAGCTTTGCTCAAATCTTTTCCATAATATCTAACAAACTTGTTTACAACACATTTCATTCTACTTACTCTTGTCCTCCTAAGTATTTTATCCATAGTACTTTGCATTTTTTAAATCACAAATTATTTTTTAAAAATTTATTTATTGGGTCTATCTCATAGTCATTCAATTAAAAAGTTACAAAATTATTTCTTTTTTAATTAAATAACCACAAGATAAACGGTTACAAATCTGTTTTATGGTCATGTTTCAGTCATCAATATTCCAATATCCATCCCTCCAGCAGTTCACATTTCCCACCACCAATGTCCTTCCTCAGTTTCCCTCCTGCCCCTGTGCCCTCCTTCCCAGCCTCTCTCTATGACAGGCACTTTTCTTCTCTCATCTCTCTCTGTTCCACTCTCTCTCTCTCTCTCTCTCTCTCTCTCTCTCTCTCTCTCTCTCTCTCTCTCTCTCCCCCCTCTGTCTCCCGCTCTCCCTCTCTCTCCTTTTATGGTTTACAATACAGATAATAAGAGCTTTGTACGTTTGTTTCTTTACCTTTCTTCAGCACATGGTTCTTGTCCAGAACAAAAAACTTTCTTATGTATCAGTTTAGTTATCTGTTATGTCTTTTTTACTCTTATTCCCTCCCAATAGATAAATTTATAAGAGCAACTATTTTGTCTGTATTATTCACCAGTACACCCAATTTCTTTAATAACCCGACACATAGTGTTTGATGAATGAATAACTGCATATTTACAAATGTGAGCAATATGTCACTTCCTTAATTCTTGGGGTTTGATTTAGCGATAATTTCAGAAGCTGTTTCCTAAGTAGATGATTTGGTACAAAACAAATGCTGCTTGCATATGTGCAGGAAACAGAGCGCCCCAAGAGCTCTCTTCCCTAATCTTCACACCCATTGGCAGGAGAGTTCAGATAATATGGGCTGAAAGTATTTGTGTAGATTGATGAGTATTGACAAGGGTTAGAGTTAAAATGTGAACTCTAGGATCTGACGGCCTGAGTTCAAGTCATGGGTCTCCTTTTACCTTAAGTGACCTTGAACTCACTCCTATGTTCCTCTTCCCTTTTCTCATCTGTGGGTTAGTGGGGAGAAAGGAGTCTACATGAGAGATCATCATCTTAGGATAGAATAGCGGGGGCATTTCCAATCTGGCAGTTAGTGAATGTTCATGAACATGAACAAGTATCAATATTGTATTTCCTGTGGTGGTGAAGCTTCAAGTGACACAAGGAATACCAATATAGATATAAAAATGATTTTTATAATAATTATGGAAACACACTTCAATATAAAATGTAAAAAATTTCTTGCATGTCTTAAGAGATTGTGGAAAGGAATAAGTTTAGAAAGGCAGAAAATGAGATCAGGAAAGAGAGAAAGGAGCAAATAAACCTCTATTCATGGAAACTGAGAACTACTCAATTAGAGGCTCAGGGACAGAGCTCTAGTAGAGTGTTGGCATGTGTTGACTCTGTTTTTCAGTCCTTAGTGCTGTAGACGATGGAAAGGGAAAGGGAAAGGGGAGGATAAGTG